AATCATCATAATAGTTAAGCAAGTGCCAATAAGCCTTACAGCTACAGAATAGCATACACAAATGTCACCTTTCATTAACACTAACTTTTGATTACATTATGAAAACCATAAACACTTTATTTATGACTCTCTAAACATCACTTTAATTTTTGCATTTTTTTGTTCTCATATATCTCTATTTTCTAAAAAAACCCGTTCATTTTGACCTACTTTACCATGATGTTACTATATTTTTATAACTATTTTCATAAATAATGTTTTTATGATGCTATTCCTCCCATTGTGCAGTTTGTAATTTTTCCTTCAGTCTTATTTAAATAATGTTTAAGTAAAAGTCTTTGTTACTCTGTGAATAATCGACAACGAATTTAGGCTTGATTTAAAAATGGTAGAGGATAGAGAATTAATTATGGGTTATAGAGTGAATGCAGCAGGTAGATATTTTGCAAAACCTTACTGTGCTTTTTCTGCAATCCGGTCTGGTTTGGTATCTAACTAAGACTTGATGAATCTGAGAGGTCAACAGCAGACACTGTGTCTCAAAAATGCTAAGATTGAAGATAAGTAAAAAACAGGTACATGACAGCAAAAATTGCAAGGGTCTTCAGCAAATTTGAGATCCTAATGAATAATTAATATTTTTGCACATCAGTTAGGCAAGTTCTTAGAAGTTTTGCTGATTTTTTTCCATGTCTTTGATTCTAAGAATCAGACATCCCACAAGTGGACTTTTGTACTTTACCAAAAGCATAATGTACTACTTGGCATACAAATATCAATCTTGATATTTCATCATAAAGATAAAATATCACCTGTTACTGCAAGCAGCTGGAGACTCAAAACATTTCCAAGTTCTTCATAACATTATATTGTTATAACCTTATATTGTGAAATACTTTCAGGATATAGAAAAAAGATAATCTGAAGAATAATCTGAAAGGTAAGTATCCTGAGTCTTCTGGTTTGTGTGAAGACTGCACTTATATCTGCTATTTTTAGTAGTAACATGTATTATCAATCTGAATAAGCAATCTAAAATTGCTAAATTAATTCAATTGTAAATGGATTATTTAATAGCTATTTTCATAGTGTTGGAGCACTGTCATCAGCCAGTAATGAATTTTTGCCTGAAAACTATGGATAAAAGCAAAAACGGTATTTGTGAGTCAAAGTCTTCAGAACCTAATGTTAATTGCAATATAAAAATAATACCAGCAGCAACAGCTCAGAAAGGCTGCCTTTAATAACACATGGATTTTTAGAACAGTGAAGGTTTAATTGCCTCTGTAATTAAGTAAGCTTTGGTCTGGCCTTAGAAATGGTGAATAATATACATATATTATATATATCTGTTAGGAAATAAAGTTATTAAGCATAGTGTCTATGTTAAAGCATATTGACTGTGTTGTGTTTTGAACACATACCTTTTAGCCATTCAAATTTTAATTCACGATCTAGTCACTTACTGAATTATGAAACAAACCAGACATATGTTTAATATTAAAAAAAAAAAAATCAAATTATAGACCATGATTAACAAATGACACATACTGGGGTAGCAGTATTCCTCTGGCTACCTGTGCTTTTGTAGATATATATAGTAGGAGACAGTTACCCTCTGCACTTAGTAAATAGGAAAAAAAAAGTACTTTTAATACAAAAATCTGTTGAACTTGCTATTTGAAATAGACAATATTTATTGTTTCCTTGAAGGAACTATTTCTCTTCATTATGCAAAACAGAATCCATGTGTAATTGAAACAATCTCTTCCCTAAAACTTATAACTTGAAAAGTAAAACAACCTGTGTTTTATACCCAAAGTCATTGTTTATCATGTTGCTTATTATGCTTTTAAAAAATTCCATGGTCATATGTTGCTGACTAATGTATCAGAACCTGACTAAAATGAACTAGAGAGAAGTAAGGATAAGATTTGTTTCAATATGGTTGTGAGGATTTGTTGTTTGGTTTTGGTTTTGTTTTTTTCTTTTCGAGTTACGGATTTTCTAACCTAAGCTCTTAGCTTTCTTTAGGGAAGACAAGTCATCCCATTCTAAGGTAGGTAAGCTATAAAGAATGAAATAAACTACACAAATGATTCTTCACCTCTATTAAAGGGAGACTAAGCAAGTATCTGACACTAGATACTTGCATTTTAAAGCAGCTAAAATTAGATAAGTTGAATCTGTTCCTGCAGGGGCTAAATCCGCAGAATTAAGTCAGTGCCCTTCCATGTAGGAGGATGAAAGTTTAGAAAATTATTACCAAAATCTTGTATTATGAGGTACTTAAGTGGATTTTTTTGTCATTTAAAAAAATATACATATATATGTGTATATTATACTTACATATACACACAAACACAGATATAGATAGGCACATTATATATGTATATATGTATAATTTTATATATATTTATATATAATATATATTATATATCTGTAACTATTGTGCACATATATATGTATAATATATATGCTTTTATATATATATACAAAATTCCCAAGAAATACATTCTCAACCAATTCCTGGACTTTTATTGAACATGGTTCTTTTCTGATTTGAGTAGTTTGCTCTGATTTTATCAAGTAAGATAATTCACAAACTGTGTTCTTCAAATAATTAATGCTACAGATGCTCCAGGAATGTGTATGATACTTTTTTGCCTTGGTGGTGTGGAAAACCAGGACATGTTTTTTGAATTTCACCAGAATATTTTCAACACAGGACCCCAGAGAATGGGAAATGTTCTTGCATAATGGAGTACAGCCTTCATTGAAGCACAAAGCAGTCTTTCTCCTTAGGATAGCTCCCCCTGGAGACATTCCCCAAGTGAGTCTAGAATTTCCTTAAACCCTCTCCTTACATTTCTCTAACTCTCACAAATGCAGAAGAAACGTAATTTATAAAATTCTAATCTAGTACTAGTATGTTTAATGATCTGGTTTGTTTAATGAGATGGTGTGGTTCAAGGTTGTTGGTTTCAATTGTTATATCAAATAAAATTGACATAGACTTATACTTTATCTCATTTTGTTAGTTTTTGTTTCTTTTCATTTTAAAAACTCTAATATTTGATTAGATAGCAAAATTCTGCAAAACTTCAGCATTTTGGTAGAGGTAATAAAGACTTTTACCTAAGCCTTTTGTTCAGTAATGTAAAAAAAGGATTAATTTTTCCTATTCTTAAATATAGCTGAAAAAAAAAGTTGTGGTTTTCATATGAAAATTAGGCATATAAAACATTAAATAGTTATATCCAGGAGACTTTTGTGAGTTTTGAGTAAAGTATTTTTTTCAGTACTCTGCATATAGCATAATATTTACAAAAGAGGATGAGAGGTCCGCAAACACTATGGACCTGGTTCCAGGTGCTGTGAGAACTAAAATGCTCTTAATGCAAAAATTAGAGTTTAGGAAACAGAGAAAACCCTTATCTGACTATCCTAAAGGTAAAGAGTAAAATGATCAACTTACCAAAGTTTTCAGGAAGAAACACACCCACACATATTCAGGTGGGCTACCAAACAAAATTTGTAGATTTTTGGGTTTACTGAACTACCTGTATGTCTTATGTCTAACTCTACTTAGATGTAAATGCACTTATTTTTGGATGGTTTGTTATTTCTTATAATCCTAGACTGGCAGATGTTCAGCTCACCACACACATATGAGTGGGCACCCTATCCTGTTTGAAACTGATACTCAGCCAGGTCGTTTAGTGTTCATCAAAATTTAGGAATGGAAAAATAGTTCTATATATGCTGCCACAGACACAATTATTGAGGATTCAGGAAACGGATGTCCTAGAACTAATGTCCCATGAAAACTCATAAACACTGGGGAGCCTGTGCAGCCATACGTTGTTTATACTTCATGGACCCCAGTAAAAAGCATGAAGGATTCCTAGCACTGTAAAACTCTTATATAAAAACCAGGTGTTAAGTTAAATCTCTTGGCCCCAGGTTTAACCAACAGCTCACTAATTCATAAACCACTAGGTTACACAGCTTCTTACGTAGCGGTTTTGCCTACATCTCCTTTTAATGCAGAACCACTGTGAAGGCAAAAGGCAAGGCTCACAGACTTGGCAAAACAGTAGGCAAGAAGGAAAATAGTGAGATTAATTTCCTAATTACTGTAATTGGACAATTAAACAATGGAATATAAGTCTAAGCACGCTTTTAGAGTTTGAAGCCTGGCCCAGGGACAAAATCAAATCAGGAGCCTAAATGCCCTGAAAAAGAGATAATGGATTGCAAGGCTCCTGGACTGGAGCACACAGAAGTCAGTATATTGCTTAAACCTGTACTAGAGCTTGGAACATCATCTTCAGTAAATGTTCAGAAACATGTCTCAAGACTATACTAGTCCATGCCAGAAGAAAGGCCTTCAGTCAACCTTTCAGTCTGAAGCATATATAGTACTGTGATTTGGACATTTCAAACAAGTTCATTTAAAAAAAGAAAACCAAAACTTTTGCCTTGTCTTGCCTTATAATTGTTCATCACTAGACAACTTCTCATAAAACTACTAAGTAGCAATTAGAAAAGTAAGTTTGTGTTATTAAAAAGTGCTCTTGACATAATCAAGAGCTCAAATGTGGCTTTCACATATGGATAAATATTTTTGAAAGAAATTTACCAGTAAATTTTAGCCTTTGTTTATCCTGAAAACAATGTCTATGGAATGTGACAGTTCTTTCTCAAAGATATTTTTCTCTCAAATAAAGAATAAAGAATGAAAAACATAATCAATCCTGTAATAATCTTCTTCTCAAATTCCATTTAGCTTCTGATTATACGTAAGTTACAAAGACTGAATAATCACATACTCAAATACTTCACAAACATCTCTGTCACAATTGTATAAAAAAAGTACTTGAAAACTTTGATCTTCATTAGGGTGATAAAAAACATTGTAACCAATAGTCCCTAAAATTCCAGAAATTTCAACATCCTTAAATAACATATAAATTATAGTAACTGATATACTCACAAGTGAATCAGTCATAGTCTAAGTCATGATCGATGGGATTTGTTAACTCTTCCAGTCCTTCCAGGTGTTGAATGAAGAATTAAAGCTTCAGAATTCCAGTTAGCATAAAAGAAACCAAGTGAAACATCTGTTTTATTCGCTCCCAGCAAAGCATAGTACAGCATATTTTCTGTTTAGTGCAGCAAATTATTGATAGTACTAAGCATCTTCTAAAGTTAAAACATAGCTAAAATTTTAAAATTTAATGAAGTAATGTTCCAGTGATGTCACTGAATCATGGAAATGTTATGAATCTTTTATAAAAGGTAATAAAAACCCTCCCATTACTCAGTCATTTTAAACCTTTTAAATTAATGTGGCTAGGCATGCAAGGTAATGGATTATTTCTATCTTCTGTTTGTTAAGTGAAGATTCAAATCCCAGACATGTTGATATTTACTGGTCCGGGAATGGTTGAGAACTATGGAAAGAACTTCCATAGCAACTAAGCACTTACCTCTTCCACTCCAAGTGCTGTTAGGTTTATCTTATGAATTTGTGAAAACATGTAATAGTAAGCACCTCATAAACAGTTGCAGCACAACTTGTCTTCTTGGTAATACAAAATAGAAGCCATGTAACTTGTATGAGACATCATTTGACCTGACATCTTGACATCACTTGACATCTCCTGAAAGACATCAGAAAACCTACAATTAAGAGACTTAAATAAGAACTTTGATAACATGAAATAGGCTTGACAAAATTCAGACTCGTCTTCCAGTCTTCCACTTCTTGCCTCCAAGAAAAGGCTGGCGTTGTGACACATCTTGAAATTTAGAAAATCCAAGATTTGAATGAATAAAATCTGGGTAATAACCCTCGAATTTCACTGTACATACTGAAGAAAATACAGGATGATAATGCATTTTCGGATCCCAGTATGAAATCTACAGAAAGTGTGAAAAAAACTCTACTCAGGACACTAGTTTACTCAAAATGTGGCCAACAGTATATGTAATAGGCTCAGAGAGATAACATATATCTGTTGATCATTTTTTGACCCAGAATTACATTGGAATAATGTATTCTGATTTATATATATTATGCTTCCTCAAAGGTACTAGCAAGACTGAAGAAACAAACACTAAGCCTATCCATAAGGCTGAAGAAACCTTAGGACCAAACTAAACGAAAGCTTATTCTCACGCTTAAAAGACCTAGGTCTGCTTACAGAAATTGTTAATATATGTGAAAAATGTGGAATTCGTAACATTTTTGAAAAACCAATGAATAGAAGAATGAAAAAGAAGTGAATAAAGTCAGGAACTATTGACACAGGAGAAAAAGACTGGGCTATTACCTACAGAAAACCTTGTATTCTTAATTGATAAAAATGTAGAAAAATAAAGTAAGATTTCACAGCATTTAATATCAAATAATTATGATTTCTGCAATAAAAATGGCTATTATTTTAGAATAAAGATCTAGCAATATAGCTGATCTTAGGCAGAGAATCAGGAGTGTGGTATGTTTACTGTCATGAAAAGCAAAAGCAATACTGAAATTCATCAGAAGATATATTACAATAGGTTTAGAGAAGCGTTAATGCCACTAATAGGACTTCAAAAAGAAATACCATGCTCAGTTCTTGAATCTGGTGCTCAAGAAAAAAGGCATATTTAAATTGAATTTGTTGCAGACTGAAAGAAAATGTCTCATGTAAGAGAAATGCTCTGTAAGAAACTGTACACTGAGAGGTCTTCTGCATGCAGAGTAAGACTGGGGATAAAGAAGAGGGTTGGCACAAGAAGTACCATCTATAAGTCGGTAAATTAATAGATTTAGAATAATTTTCTATCCATCAGTTAAAATCTGGAACAGCCTTTTCTGTAAGGATATGGGGCGACAAAAATCAATTTTTTTTAAGCTGTGATTTTGATTATTTGATGAAACAGTAGTATATAATTAATTGACTGATATAAGTCATCAATCAGTTTGGAGTCCATAAATAATACAGTAAATTAACTTTGTATGAAAATTGGATTTTTTAAATAAGGATGTATATCTTTATACGCAAAGAGGACCATTTCATTAATGAGGGGTCTTAACTGTCTTCAGTAAACCTCTGCTTATAAAGGTTTACTGAAGACTGCTTATAAAGAAATGGATCAATTCTGTACCTAAAATATTCAGATATCAAATTCCAAGGATTAATAAATTAAACACATAAAAGCTCTATAATTAAAAGCATACACCATTGTACAATTTAGATATTTTGGAAAAGACCAATGTTTGCATATCTTAATTTAAGGCAATTTAAAAATATGCATTTGATCTTTTCTTACAGCGTCTGTAGAGGAAGAGTGCATCTGCTGCCTTTTTTAAAGAAAAACTCTCCAAACCCTAATCAGTAAAAGAGATAATGAGATTCATATTTACAGTGAGCAGAATCTCTCTGGAGAGCTGAAATCTTTCATTCATATGTATCAAAGCATAAACTGATTACCAGTTCAAATGAAGACAGCACCTCTCTTTCTTTACTGACCTCCTGCTGGACTGTTCATCTGGGAATCTTTTTGGCTTCATCTGTAGAGACTTTCTCTTCAACCTGGAGAAGAGAAGCCTCAGACTGATCTAAGCAATGGTTATAAATGCCTGATAGGAGGGAAAAAAGATGAGGGACCCAGACTCTTCTCAGAACTGCACTGTGACAGGACAAGAGGAAATGGGCATAAATTAACACATACAAAATTCTGTCAGAACACAGGAAAATTTTCTTACTGTGAGAGTAGTCAAACAGAAGAACAGGTTGCCCAGTGAGGCAGTGGAGCCTCAGTCCTTGGAGGTAATTAATACACAACAGGACACAGTCCTGGTCAACAGGTGGCCCTGCTTGAGCAGGGGATTGCAATAGCTAATGTGAGGAGTTCCCTTCCAACCTCAACTATCTTGTGGACTTACTGTTTAAAGTACCTACAAGTACAACATCTTTGATGGGAGTAGTGGGGAGGATGGTAAAAACTGACTAAGCATTCTTGTGTAAAACATTCTTTGAAACATAACAGAAACATCCTTGGAGTCTATCAATCAGATGACACCCACATACTCTGGTGATGAGACGTCAAATTAAAATATGGGAACTGATTTTTTTTCATTTTGTAAGGACCCCTGTCAAATATAACACCCAGAGATATAACTGATTTCTTTGTTATTTCTTGTTTATACTGATTTCTCTGCACTTGAGACTCACTGTCACACTCAAAATTCTGTTACAGGCAAAAAAAGAAGACATCATATACATAAAGATAAGAATTACTGTCAATTTAACAGAACAATTGTTATTTGAATACAAATACACTATACAGTCATCATTAGTCTTTTTATAGCAGTATTCAACTTTCGTAGTCATCATAGTACAGTCTCACTGAAAATACTATCACTTTTATTGAAAGATCTCCTGGTATCCATCCTTGTACTCTGGAGTTACTCTCGCCTTTCCTATGCTTGGTTGATCTTCCCCAGTGAGAAGCAGGTTTTATCAAGGTCACCTCTGCCCCAGGTCTTTCACTGAGTGATAGTGTTTTTCTTCCTAAGTAACAGTTATCCGCGATGGAGCCCTGCTCTCCTGTGGGGATGGCGGAACACCTACCTACCCACGGGATATAGTGAATGAATTCCTTGTTTTGCTTTCCTATTAAACTGCCTATATCTCAACCAACGAGTTTCCACACTTTTACTCTTCTGTTTCTCTCTGCCATCCTAATGTGGGAAGAGTGAGCAACCAGCTGCAAGGTGCTTAGTTACCAGCTGGGGTTAAAAAAATGACAAGGACTTACCATAAAGTATTAAATTATAAGGATTTTTGTTTATTATTATACAGCATTAAGCTGTGAAAAATTCTTTATCTTCACACACAGACAGAAGTGTTAATAGAAGTATTACCATTCATGTCTGTGTCAGAGATATTGCTATAAAAACTCTCAGAAGTTTTAATGTCTGTCTGCTATCATAAAACCTTTCTCTAATTTCCAAATGAAGAAAGAGATAGTAACATTCTTACAGTGTCGTGAAAAGAGCAAAATGAAGTATAACCGAAATTATAGTTCTAATCTGACAAATGAGAGTGAGAGTTTTCAGTGATTCTTATGCATTTTAATTTGAGAACTTCTACAAAAAAATTAAAGACATTCTTAGTGGGGAAACTCCATCCTGTTGAGAAAGAAAACGCAAAATGTTTCTCTCTAATGAATGCATATTTAATAAAGACTGAATTAGCATATCATTTGTATAGAACAGTTTAAGGAACTATATGAAACTAAAGCATTAATAATGTGTTAAGCAGTAAACGCCATCTTTAATAATAATAGCTCAAACCTCTTCTAGCACTCTATTTGGTGAAATACAGTATTATCTTAAAATAGTAAGTAGTGGTGCACTGTTGAATTTATCAACAACATTGAAAGTAAAGGAAGAGTTCATTGTGTGGATCATCCTTCAACTAAACCTTTAAGCTATCTGTTATAGATTCCTTTGTAAGATGTTATAACTTCAAGGTTAAAAGTAGGTTTATATTGTAAAAATTGTAAATTTAAGAAAAAAGATAATTTATAAAGTAAGAAACTGTTTTAGCTCTTAATTCTACGTACACATTTATAGAAGGCTCAAATATTAAGTGAAATGGAAAAAAATTATTTGTTTTGTCTTTTTGATTTTATTTGTTGGCATGAAAATCATAGGGTTGTTGATGAAAAGACCCTTGAATTAGGAAGTTTAAATGCACAGGTTATTCAAGTGTTATGCAAAAGTACAGGCAATAAAATTTGCAAATTGTTAGCTTCCTTGTAGAATGATCTAAGTGAAAGTTTAGTCTTGTCACAAATAAATGGGTTGAGATTTAAAGAGGAGATTTCTTCACGAATTTTTACTCACTCCACATAGAAATTAATCAGTAGTGTGAACTCTAAAAGAAGAGGTCAGATTTTAAAGATTTCTTCCCATCCTTTTCTGATCTTTTTCATCCATGTTTACTATGGCAGTAACTAAAGTTCTCTCAACACTGTGTCAGTTTTGTGTGGATGCAGCAGTAAGATCTTAGACTATTGTAAGGTTTACGTTTGTTTTTTTTTTCATGTAAAGCAGTTTTCCCTCCAGAAAACAGGTATTTTTAGTGAAATATGAAAGGTTTCTAGTGACAGAACCCAGTGCCCAGTGACAGAACCAGAGCCAGTGGACCCAAAATGAAACACAGATAGTTCCCTCTGAACATAAAGATACCGTAAGGGTGATCAAGCACTGCAACATGTTGTCCAGAGATGTTGTGAATCTACCTCCTTCAAGATATTCAAAAGCCACCTGGACATGGTCCAGGTGTTGGTGACTCTATTTGAGCAGGGGGCAGTTAGACTGGATGTTCTCCAGAGGTTTCTTAAAACCTCAACCACTCTGTTGAGAATCACTCCTCTGATTCTATGATTCTGTAAGTCTGTAATTCTGTGACACTCTGAACTGAAGAAGGTTCTTTCCATAAATGGATGGTAATCCTGGAGTCAGAGGAGTTTGAAACTTACAGGTACATCCAAACTAAACATAAATTGTTTGTCTTTTTATTAATTCTGTATACTAAGTGAGCAGATGAGGTTGTATAATGGTTCCATACCAGAACAATTGCATAGAGACCATGTCCCACAA